AGAGTCTATGCTGGTACATGAACCTATCTCTTCCATTGATACCCATGATGGAAATCGGGAACTACACCAATGTGAGATCGTAGAAATTCATAATTTCGCAAAATTTCGCAAAAAAATGAAGAAAATTTCAGTATTAATGAGGTTCACACTTCCATGAGCAAGAAATGTCAACAGAACCGGTCAGTGACTATGCTTCTAGTGGAAAGGTTGCAAGGGAATGCTACAACAGAAATGAACTGAATGCTAGGGTAATGAGTTAATAACAATCTTCGATTCATTCGAAAATAGAAGACTTTTAGCTGCGATAAAAGAATTTGCGTGGAATAACTTATATTAGATTGCATCGGAAAAAAGAAGAAGCTCCAGTTTGGTGGCATGAAGCTTTGCAATGAGAATGCGTGGAACGGTAACAGATGACAATGAATAGAAGCATTAGTGAAATAATTCATTCGGTTTTGTTTGATTTATGAATGCAATTTGTTCGAATGTTGAAGCAGACAGAAATTAATGTATTGACTAACGAGCGTTGAAGACAGTTCATCCGAGTGACGTCAGTGATCAAAGAGTGTTCGTGAGAGAGAAGCTGTAATCAAATGACGCAAGGACGTCGTTTTTGCAGAGCATTTTTAGAGTCAATTTGACAAATAATTACATGCATCAATTGAACAGGATGCGAGGAAATTTTAGCTGAGTTCTTCTGATTAAAAACATTCAATCGTAGGACATCATAAATTAGATTTTTTCCATGTGAATTCAGTGTTTTCCCAAGAAATATTACCACTGCGGTTTAATTCAATATTTTATTATAGAACACTTTCTTCATCAGACTATGAAATTAGGGATGGAAAGAATGAATTAACTGCGTATCGACAATACTTCTGCAATGCTGTTCAAGCTTAGTCTCTGCTCTATCAAACTTTTCCAGATCAACCGAATGTAGAGGCGGTGTATTCATTGACGAATGAAAAGTGAACTCAATTTCGCAATTGAAGTTTCCAACAGCAAGTGCATGTGACGGTTCGAAAAAATGAAAAAGGAATTAAATATATTCATTTAGATGAAAAAAAAAGGAAGGATAGACTGCAATTACGGAGCAAGCGAAGGCGAAGTTTTGACAGTGCCTCTCTTTGACTACTTGTTAAATTGAAATAAATAGATTAATTGTTTCCTCGTTTTTTTCCCGACATGGTGTGCCGGCCAGCTCGCTTCGCAGGTGAATATCCATCCTATCGGTGAACCGCCGACACAGCTTCTCATGTATTCGGCCAAAAAAGAGTGCTCCAGTTTATCAAAGTCAGATTTTCTTCAAATCTCATCAGAGACTGCTCAAATGCTGCCAGCCGTGAACATCTCCCACGTCACAACAGCCGCTCTGAACACAGTAGTTGATCACATAGATCGACTCGCATAAACCTACCGCAGTTACGAATGCGTTCGTTCGCGTCACCACCACCACCACCACCAACCCACATAGCACCATCTCACCGATCCCGTCAGCACCACTCAACAACAACAACAACAACAACACAATCACCAGTAGCTCCAATTGACGGCAACCGTTCACGAACAATTTGAACACTCCCCAATGAGATTTGAAGGAAATTCAGAAGAGCAACTCCAGCGGGTACCATCCATTTGCCTTTTGCACCGCCTCACATTGGCACACCGCATGGCTCCAATACTCAATCATTCGACGAGGCAAAATTCGTGCCCAACAACTCAATCGCTGCCACCAATGCCTCAAGCCTGGAAATCCGACTCGAATTTACCTGGCTCAACAACCAACTATCATTGCCATGGATCTCACAACACGACCTCTTATGCTCCATACAACCAACACGGCAGCCGACACTATCTCATACTCGTTTAGCCATTACTGAGCCCATTTCCGACGAAACGTCTGCTAACATTGCCATTGCACGCACCTTTTCACGAATCGCTACTCATCCCTCCATCATGCTACTATTATGAAGCATAGAAAAAAATGTATAATCCAATCCTACCTCAAAATCTTGAAGCTGCAAAAATTTTTCCGGATCAAGACAGCCAGACAACGTTCCTCGCGTACGTAACAAGTCGCTCGCAAAATCACTTGGCTTCTAACTGAACGAATGCAAGCACTTCGTTTTCTTCCGACAGCATGATTGAGCGGATCAGACCAAGTGAAATCCGTGTTAAGTATCAAGCTACTTAATTGCCTCTCATTGTCAACGATCAGTTCTCAGTAGTTTGGAACGATCAGATTTATACTTCACACGTAGCTTCAGCTGTTAGTTAATTACACTTTAGTGAGTTTACTGCCGGCCACACATTTATACATCATGGGCACGAGACTGTCGTGCGGATTCGAAGTACTCAGTTGTGTTTTCAGATTGAAATAATCCTTTTTGATGAGGTTCTCGACGTACGATTGGTGATCGTGATCGGCAAGCTCAATTGACATCACNAAGAAATATGGGGCGTGGTCCTCACTCAAATCGGTTCTTTAAACTGCTATAAAAGTGTCGAAGATTGATGACGCTTCGACGCAGATCAGGAATTCACATTACTTTTTCGAAAGGAAAAAAGATTGTGAATGATTTGGCTGTACTGAAATGTTGCGATCATTTGACGTTAAGGATAAATGTTTCTGGAACGGTTTCAATTTTCGAATTCCGATGCATTTATCCTATCATCCTGATCGATTGTTTGGTCACTCAACATATCTGGCAATACTACATAATATCAGCTATCGATAAAATCAATGGAATTTATGAATGAAGAGATCGCTGATGAAAATACATCGAAAAACTTTAGATATTATTCGCGTGCAGCAGAAAATTTCAAAATTCTTCCACTGCCTGCTGTAAAAATCAAGCAGAAATCTTGTTGGAACTTGATGAGTTAGTTGGGTGAAAATTGTTGGTCAGTGGAAAAGTTCGATTGCCTTTCCCATTGGCAAATATTTTTGTGACTATTCATATTTTCCATCCTCATGTGTTTGATTTGAAAGAATTTGTTTTTGAGTGTTTTATGAGTTGATGAATATGTGGAATGAATGGAAAGTGAACTGCTGATGGTGGTTCGTTGAAGAAGTACATCGTTATTTGTCATTACAAAGTATTAAAACACAATTACTTTTTCAGAACCTTATTGATTGCAACATTATTTCGTTGTTGAACAGGTTTATGCAAAAAACATTAACACGGAGCAATTCATCAATTCGACAATAGAAGAAGCATCGAGCAGCTGACAATAACCACATGGCAATAGGTTGGAATTATTGTAATATCAAAATACCAAAAAAAAANAAAAAAAAAGAATCTCCCTTAAAGGCGGAGGGAGAATGAAATAAATATGAAATAGAAAATTTGAAACGGCTCAGTTCAGGACAAATGAGAGTTGCTTGCGAAAGCGTTGAAGAACTAGAAAATGGAGGATCGAGCAGATGGGCACAGTGATCGATTCGTAGCAAGAAGCACGAGCAGGTGTGTACCATTCACAGTGCAAAATTTTTTGAAGTTGTGGTTATGTGAGGGAGTGATAACGGCCTTGACAAGGCACACTTGAGTTCACAATATGGTGAAGATAAGGGAAAGTGAATGAAACTGACCGAATTCACCTGTGCACCTTTCAAAGAAAAATACTGCAGGGGACGAACGTTTTTTTCGTAAGATGTTTGCACTGATTTTTAGTGAGTAATTCTGATCTTCTCGAGCCCAACCGTCCATGTCCCTATTATCGATGTTGTGAGATTCAATTATCCCTACTTTTCAGCAGTACACATTTCAACCTTTATCGAATGTTGACATGAGCATCAAACCTTCAGTTGATTGTTCCCGAGTTCAAGTTCCACTTGCGGAAGAATGTTTTGTTGGAAAACGATCGATGCATCAGTATCATTATTGTTATCGCGCCTGAAAAATGCTATGACTTGTCTTGTATCTGACGCTTCATCTAAGGTTAAAAGCAATTCGTGTTTAAAAAATTCCTTGATTTCACCGATCAAGAAGCTTCGAAGACTTGTGCGCTTCATAAATAAGATTAGCTTATTATTATGTAATTTCATGTCTTGAATCCAAATATCACCTTAAAAATGGTTCATTGGTTACAGTGGGAATCTCTTACCAGGATGTCCCATTAACATGGGAATCAACAGTCTTACTGCATCCACCCTGTAAGCCCATCATGAGAGCAACAACCTCGAAGTCAGCGCAGAGCTCCCGCTGATGCTCACCACATTCTATACTTCGCAGCATTTGCCAACAATAAACAATCTCATTGATTTCTTTCATACGTGATGCACACACAGCTCATACAAGCTGACGGTTTACTATCAACGAGCATGTTGGAATCCGTTCTGGCAAGTACATGTATCTTCAAAACCAAAGCTAACAAGCAATATTAACCATAGTATTCCATGATATTCTTCAACAGGACCTCCAACAAATAAAAATTAGTACTCATCTTCCGAAAACATTCTGCTCATTGATCAGTGTTATACAAGCCATTGAAGAGTATTTGGTGAAAAACATTCAACGATCGCCCTATGCTCATCATTTAGTTGCTATGAAATTATATTCGTGACAGTATTCATTTGTAAAATCAAATACGCTCCAACTTGTATACATAATAAATTTATTGTCCACATATTCAGTATTCAAACCGCGATGCTATCTTAGTCTCTTCGAGTGTATGAACAATTCAAGATTTGACAATGCGATAATCAACTGTACGAACAATCAATCAGAAACATTTATCAAAGTATGACGTCTATTTACATAATTATCGCACCCTTTAAAAACAACAATATTAATGAGCAATTTGTTAACAACGGAAAAATATTATGAGTTTTTTTTTGTAAATTATAGTATAATACAAATTCGAACTGCTTGTTATCTTTCACAATTATAATGCCTCTAAGACGAACTTCACACTACTCATTGCCAGGTGATATGGCAAGTTGTCACGCTTCCTGCATGCAATCAATTACCTATTCAATGGCACAACTCTCGTTTGCATTAAAGCTCTTGTTTGCACAAACCGAAGAATTGAAGCATTTGCTGAATAGCTCCCGGGTCACCGAGATTTGTCTTCAGCGTTTGCATGTTTGATGACCCGTCAGGCCTGGCCGGATTTGGTCCAAAACTAAAATAAACCGATAACGATAGCGAATAAGCAGTGATAGGATATATTATTGAATGAAATGTTCGTCGCTCTATCAGAATATCTGCATGTTGTTGTGTTGTTTTTTGGCCTAGGAAGTTGAGTTTCGTTAACAGAAAAAGCATTGTTGAAAATTGAAAACAGCAAGATGTGAACCAACCCTTGCAGTTTGACGAGTGAATCTAGTTTCTGCATATCGTTATCATTCTTGACACCAATCGTCAAACTATTATCGTCACGGCTCAGAAGGAACGACGGACCCTCTGTGGTTGATGACGTCGGGAACACGAGCTTTTTATTACTCGGTAACGCTACTTGTGCTAACGTTAAGCCGTCCTGCAGAAAACACTCATAGATGAAAGCTAATAATGAGGAAATTATGATTCGATGGTTCCAATGACTGCATGCAACGAAATGCAATTTGAGATGAATGTGAAGACTGCCGATCAAACATCAAATTTATCAAGCAACAAGCATTTCTTTTCGAATGTATCGAACGTTACAATATGTTAGCGTGAAAATTGGAAAGTGAGAGAATCACACCAATTATACAAGAACTTATGTATAATTAAGAGCCTTCTCTTTAGGTCTCTGAAAGCTCACCGGTATAAGAAAAGATTAAAAAGCTTGTGGTACCTGAAGATTCTGAAGGAGATCGGAGACCCCACTTAGGAAGCCGCCTTTGCCTTCGTATTTGGCCTTATCGAAATTCTCATCAATTGCATCGTAATAATCCAACGCTTTATCTTCTCGTTCCCCGGTTGTTATCTCATATGATGATAGTGATGTCGGTTTACCAGTCACAAACGATTCTTGCGAACCTTCCAAGTCCGACTCTTCCTTGAATCTTTCCTTTCACCATATTTCATGTGTCATAATGAATATCAAAATCGATAGTGAAGTCCTCTCCTCACTATTCATCTAGATCAGATGATTTTTGACAAGCATGAAATTAGGTGGTCGACGAACACCGAAAACCTTTTAGCTAATGCATCAAATTTTTTCTCACTCAAACTTTTTCCACTTGACTGATCGGTTAACTATGTGTATGCAACTGCAAAATGGCAGATAAACTGAGAAGTAACAAGCAATGAAAATAACTAACCACAGTGGTAGTGCTGGGTGCAGTTGTGAGAGGTAATACAGTTGCACTTAAGGAAACAGGTGGCATCACAGTTAAACTCAACATCGATAACGGATCCATTGACTGAATTTGGTCAACATTCATTGATGACTGTTTTTTGAAGCAATCGAAATCACAATCAAACACGAAATGATATTTGAACGAATGGAAACTAAAAAATTATACGAGAAAAAGAGACAACATCAAAGTGCACCTGTCCAAAGAGATTACCAAATCTTGCAGGTGCTGATGGTATCACCGGTGGCCAAAACGAACCACTGGGAAAAGCATTAATTTGGTTGGTGCTTTCGAAAAGCCGTAGTCTTCTGTGATCGTCTAACTGCTCTTGTTGCATAAACACTGGATTCAGCTCCTCAAATGCACTAAGAGTTACAATTGAATTTGCAGATCACATTGCGATAAAAATTTCACTCACATTATGGGCCACTGAAAATTAGCCAATGACTTCAAGAAACTCAGTTTTTTACAGTGAAATGAAATTCTCTGATAATTAAAATTCACGCTGATATGAATTTCACAATTTAGGGCAGAACTGAACATCTTATGGTGTTCGCAAATAGAGAAGAAAAATTTCAGTCGAGATTCATATTTTAAAAAAAAGCGATAGACTGGATTAAATTTTCGCTTCATTTGGATGAATGTAGAGGAATGAACTGCAATAATTCAAAGATATTAGCAACATCATTCTTACAATAATTTGGATACTATCAAGGATATCAAAGATCAAGCTATTATTATTATTGCTATTGTACAAAATCCATTTATCTTCGCATAAAATGAGGGGAAAACGAACTATTGGTGGGAATCGACCTCTGGACCATTCGTTTGGAATCTGACGACGTGCTCGAACTGGATCGATAGCCAAGAGACCGAATTTCTTGGCTACTAGATCAACGGGGCACAGTTGGAGCCACCAACGTAGATCACTGAAATAAGATAATTCAGAATAATTTTTGGAAGTGTTGTGAACGAAATGATATGAAATGCATAAAGCGATCGATCACACCTATGAAAATGAGAACATGAATTGCATGTAGAATACGCTCTACTGGCTCAATTATCGAATTCATTTGAATCCGTCGGAAATATATATTTGGGATGGATGGATCGCCTTTCACAAGCGATTTTTATCCTCCAAAGTGGTGCAAAATCACTTGATGGTGATGCTCAATGGGTGAAATGAAGAAGAAATGGAAATGCGGATGTTTGGCTGGTAATAAACATATGCGGGTTTCATTAAGGAAAATATTAACGGCAATATTCGACAATTGAACAGGCCGAAAGTTGATGTCGGTAAAGTTAAATTGTTAAGCAAAAATGAAAATCATCGGCGACAATCATTAATATTGAGCGTACATCTGTTCTCTTTTATAAAATGAATTGCTATTGTCAGACCTCATTCCTTTATGATGACAATTTTCGACGACTATCAATCGTAAAGTCTGTTTGTACATGCATCATGCTGATGTTTTGTATATAATACTTAACAAGTGTTCCGATGCTCGCAATCTCCATGTGCCATATCGATTTTTTTTAGGGGGGGGGGGCGGAAGGGA